GAGGACTATGCACTGTATTTCCCATTTCCCCAAATGATTACCAAAGCAAGTAGGAACTATCCAAAGCAAAGAGATTGGAAGGGTGTCAAAGAGAGTACAAAAGGGTTATATGAAAATTGTCAGATCAAAATGGAATCACTTATGCCAAACATTAACAAAATGGAGACAGGAGGTCTTCACCCACATTTGCCTGATAAAAGGCACTATTGCAAAAGACTACCAAATCACAACCTTGCACAAAAGCCACTATGAACCTTAAACAAAAATACTTCTGTAAGGACATTTACCCCAAACTGCCTGTTCAATCTTGAACTGACTCCACCCTTATTATTGATCCTTATAAGCAAGGATCTTTGTTTCAAAACAATTTAGGTAACCTTCCAATTTCGCCTTTGAAGACCCTTGTCTACCTTTGCCTCCTTGACACACTTAAGGTCCTCCAAGGTTCACCATGGCACATGGATCCCCAACTGCAATTCCTCTTTGCTCCCAAATAAACTTTTTTTTTGAAGAACCAGTCTCTCTACTGCTTATATTAGGTTGATAAAAACTTGATTTACTTTTTTGTCAGTGCAAAATCAACTTCTCTGAGAAAAGATCTGAGAGAGGATCAAGTAAACTGAAAAATGGATGATCTAGCATCTGAATAGGCCCCTCTCCTTTGTTGTTAATTCCTAAGTAAAACTAAGGTTCAAGTTGGGCCTGAAGCTCTGTTCAGAAATGACCTAACCTCTGAGTAGTAAACAGAGAGGTGTGACTTATCTTTGCCACCCCTCGGGAAAGGTGCCTTTATTTCTGAGCCTGTAGGCCCAGTCCATTATCTTTTTCTTTTGGGGGGGGGGCGGTGGGGGCATACAGGGGATTGAACTCAGGGGCACTAGACCCAAGCCCTATTCTGCATTTCATTTAGAGACAGGGTCTCACTGAGTTGCTTGGCGCCTAGCTTTTGCTGAGGCTGGCTTTGAACGAGGATTCTCCTCCCGAGCCGCTGGGATTACAGGCATGCGCCACCACGCCCGGCTAGTCCATTATCTTTTATACTTGTACCTGATGCCTCAGTGGGTAGCCTAAGTCGGTGGATGACACAGCGACCCGGGAGCCAAGTTCCTAGAGAATCCAGCCACCGGCGTCCTGAGTACATGCGAAGAAACCTCTGGGCTTTAGCCAACCCCCGAACAGAGATGACGCAGCAGCAGGTGCGGGTCTGAGCAGGAGCAGTATTCCGAGTGGAGAGACTTCGGGCATCGGTGACCGCAGTCTGAGAGAGAACCTGACCCTCAGCATCAGGATTGGCAGAAGTGGGGACAAAGTCGGGAGTGGCCTGCGGATGGGCCCGCTCCGGCCGATGCCGGTAATGGAAACAGAGGAAGCCACCGCCCGGCTGTTCCCGGAACTGGCTAAAATAGCTCCGTAGCTGGGCCGAGCGCAACCCAGAGGGGATACCGCTCACTACCAGGTAAACTGTCGCCTCTTCCTCCGCCTCGCCGGGCAACGCCATCTTGGATTGTCACATGATCGGCTAGAACCAATTCTCACGAGAACATCGTGAGACTAGCTGGACGCCCGTGTCGCGAGGTTTTGAAACCGGTAATCAGATTGGTGAACGTGAGACCTGTTGTTGGGAAGGCCCGGAAGAAATGGTCCACGTCCCTTTCCCACAAGGAACGTGCGATTTTGAAAAAAACTCACCTGAAAAATGGAACTGTAGAGCTCTTTAAAAAGGGTCCAGTGTGGATCAAGTAGAAGACGTGCAGGAGAGAGCATTTTAAAGACATTTAGCTGTTGGGTGTCACCCAAACCTTTACCAGTCTTCCTCAGTTCAGAATCTGTTTAGCCGTCCATCATTTATTCTTCCAAAATATTAATGAACTCCCACAAAGCAGTAAAAAGAAGCTAACTCAAAAAAATGGACTGAAGATAATTCACAAAAGAGGGAACACACGTTTGATTATAATGAAAGGCGATCTCAATAAAAATGCAACTATGTTGAGATTCATTTCACTTTTTTTTAACATTTCAAAAAAAAAAGTCTTTTAATTAGAAAAAAAAAAAACGAAGAAACAATCTTCATGAGAAACAGACATAATTGGCAAGATGGAACCCACAACATGTTAAGGTAATAGCATAGAGGAAAAATCACAGACATGTTGCTTAAGGATGGGATGTGTCCTGAGAAATGCATTGATAGGTGATTTTGTCGCGTGATCATGGAGGGCACTTGCACAAACCTGGATGATCTGGGTCTGTTAGCCAGCCTGGCTCTCTCATTTCACTTTCAACACATTGGCAAAATTTAAGACTCAAAAATATAAGCGACGATGTGCAACTGGAGCTATTATACACTGTTGGTGGAAGTGTAAATTGATAGAACCACTTTGGAAAACAATTCGGCATTATCTAGTAAAGTGAAGCTGTATGAGCTGCACCTCCAGCCCCTGTCTTTTGACCCAGCAATTCTACTTTCAGGCATATACTATGAAGAAATTATTGTACATGTTTATCAGGAGATGTAATGACAGTGTGCACACAGTCCTGTGATCCTGGGAAACAGTGGAAATTAAGGACTCCTACTGGGCTGGGGATGTGGCTCAAGCGGTAGCGCGCTCGCCTGGCATGCGTGCGGCCCAGGTTCGATCATCAGCACCACATACCAACAAAGATGTTGTGTCCGCCGAGAACTAAAAAATAAATATTAAAAAAAAATTTCTCTCTCTGTCTGTCTCTCTCACTCTCTGGGGGGAGGGGGAAGGACTCCTACTCATCCCCTCCCCTATTCTTTTGTGTTCTGGAACAGTTTTCTGTGAAGAATCAAATCACACTTCTCCATAGGACTTAGATTAGATTCGTGGATGTTCCCATGTTGACCTATAACAAAGCCAGTCACAGATTCCAAATTCCACTTCTTTGCCTCATAAAAGTTTAGATGTACTTACTGTCCCCATTGATCAATCAGAACAAAATACTTGTTAACCAACTTTGGTTTAACTTCTCTCATTTCCCCAGGTCCCTGAACTCTGGCCCAATCTCAGCTTGAGCCAGCAGGAAACTCCTCCTGAAAATAGGTTGGCTTAAGGGTAAAACATTCTCTAACCTACTGACCATTGATGCTTCTTCTGGTCATACCACTTCCTCACACCCCATTCTTTCAAATCTTCCTATGAAAGAAAACCTCTGTTTACCTAACCCTTGCCAATCTCATGGTCAAGGTCAGAGTCCCTACTGCAAAAATCCCCCTCCCCCTAAATGCAATAAGGCCTTTCTTCCTTTGTAGTAATCCAAGTCTCTTCTTATTAAATCTAGATTTGCTTTTTGTTTGTTTGTTTTTGTTTTGTTTTCTTTTGAGGGGGAGGTTTGGAGGTGCTAGAGATTGAACCCAGGGCTTTAGACATACTAAGCAAGCACTCTACCACTGAGCTCTGTCTCCAGCCCCTTTTTATTACTCTTTTATTTTTATTTTGAGACAGGATCTTGATAAATTGCTCAGGGCCTTGCTATATTGCTGAGACTGGCCTTGAACCTTCAATCCTCCTGCCTCAGCCTCCCATGTCTCTGGGATTATAGGTGTGTGCCTCTGCACACAACATTAGAATGTTTTTATTTTTTTATTCATTACATATGTGTGTATCTATATGATCACCACAAAGTAACTACTACCTTTAAAAATCTGGAAATTGTCCAGGTGTGGTGGTGCAAACCTGTAATCCCACCTACTTAGGAGCCTGAGACAAGAGGATGGCAAATTCAAGGACAGCTTTGGCAACTTGGTGAGACCCTGCATTAAAATTTAAAAAAAATTTTTTTTAAAGGGCTGGGGTGTAGTTCAGTGATAGAGTGCCACCCCTGGGTCTGCAAAAACTACATATATATAAAGTTTAATAGCAAATGATGAAAGCCAAAATAATAATGGCATGCTATGGAAAAGCTGTGAGATGACCAAGAAGTTGTGCACTTACAATTACTCATAATTGTGATTTGTGGAACTAAATTTCTAGGACCTAGCAGGATCCTCAGTACATAGTAGACTTAGTAAGTCATGAAATGAATGTTGAGGGGGAGGTTTGGAGGTAATGAATGATGGAATGAATATTGCTGGCACTAACATGGGGCTATGCCCCTGAGTATGGCCATGAACTCCCTCTAGGTAAAGTGGGGCCACTTTCTTGGGAGAATACACAGGCCATATATCTCATCATTTCACCTCGTAGTCGGGTGAGAAAGAGAAGGAGTTTAGTTGCTGTTTATTTGTCTTATTTTATTTTATTTTATTTTTTTGTGATTTTGGGGATTGAACCCAGGGCCTTGTGCATGCAAGATAAGTACTCCACCAACTGAGCTATGTCCCCAGCCCAGTTGCTGTTTATTCTTTAGTTGATCATTTCTGACTCTAGGGGTTTTCTTTTTTGTTGTCGCTAATTTTGTTTTCTGTTTTGTTTTGCTAATTATTGTTATTTTGTGGTGCTGGGGATCAAACTCAGGGCCTCCAACATGATAGACAACTGCTATACTACTGAGATACAACCCCAACCCCTAGCCCCCTAGCCCAATGCTTTTTTTTTTTTTTTTTTTTACTGGGTATTAAACCCAGGGACACTTAACTACTGATCCACATCCCCAGCCCCTTTTTGTATTTTATTAGAGACAGGGCCTTGCTGAATTTCTTAGGGCCTCGTGCAAAGTTGCTAAGGCTGGCTTGGAATTCGGGATCCTCCTACCTCAGCCTCTTGATCTGCTTGGATCACAGGTGTGTGCCACCATGCCCAGCCTAGTCCAATTCTTTAAAGATGCCACAGCCTGGGCTTTCCTCTGGCCATGCCTGTCAGAAATAGGAGGTCCCCTTTGTTAACATGGATTCCCTTGAGATCTTGTCTGGTCTCCACCAGTTTCACTGGAATTTCTGTTCTCTGCTATGTTACTCTGATGCAGTCTGTGTGTGCATCAGTGTGCTGATCACCTGCTGTCCTGGGCCTCACATTCCATTCCCTTTGTTCTCTAACACCTCTCTGCCTTTGCATAAGTCATTCCCTTGGTTCAGAATGCCCATCCTTGCAAACCTGTATTCATTCTCAAAACAGTCACCAATTGAATGAAGCATTTTTCCTACCTCCATTCAGATTGAATTATTCCAGCTGCCTGTGGTGTGTTCCTCTCACACAGTTCAGATCTCTTCATGTTATATTTAGTTCTATATATTAGTGTCTTCCTCTGCCAGGGGTAGAATGTTGCATGAGGGCAGGAACTGTATCTTATTTATTGTGTGCTCTGGCTCCTGGAATCTAATACAAGGTCTGGTACAAGTGGAGGTCAAGAGACAATGAATGATGGGGTGAACAAATGGATGGATGGATAATAGGTGTTGACTCTTTGCAGGCATCATAGATAGTTTCTAGGATATGCAGATGCCCAAGGGCAAGGCGAGTCAGTGAGGGCACAGCACATGTGAGCTGCCTGACTGCTTAATAAGCAATCAATGATTTGGCTAATGAGGATAGAGATAACGAGGCAATAAAATAGTAACTTAGGCTGACCCAGAGCCACAGCCACCCTCCTGCTTTCCAGTGAATCAGCCCTGGCTGGGCCTGAGGACAGGGATCATGGCTGAGGGGTAAACGGTCAGTAAGCAGTAGCTCAGCTGGCTCCAGACAGCCTGATCCTGGCCATGACTCATGCCAGCCAATGCTGTTGGCAAGAACCTGGCCTCTGGAATCACATGAGTCTCAGCTCAAATCTCAGCCCAGACAGTGAACAGCCCAGACCATGAGTAAGTTCCATACCCTGTCTGGGCCTGTTTCCTTCTCTTCCCTCCCTGAAACTAAGACACAGGTCTTACCCCAGGATAGTTATAATGGAGACACAGCCCCCCACCTTTGAAAAGCCTGTGATTTCACGGAGAAAGCAATATTATCCTTATATTGTTCCATAATTGTCTCTATTGTTTTGTTATATTCTTTATGTTCCTAGCACAAGACGTAGAGCTAGGGCACAGGGAATGACTCAAGGAATAAAGATAAGAAATGGGAGTGTAGCTCCCTATCCCCATGGAGGGATAGGAAGAAATTTGAAAAGGAATGTGTTTTGTTGTGTAAATGTGTTTGGGTCTGCAGCGTGTTGTTGACCAAGTATATCTGAGCCATGCTTTTCTGTGCTGTGTGGTGTGGATGGAGGGGTGTGAGTGTGTGTGTGTGTGTGTGTGTGTGTGTGTGTGTGTGTGTGTGTGTATAAGAGAGACAAACAGAGACAGAGGGAGTTGAATGTCCGTGAAGATGTGTCTGAGTTATACACTTGAGTTGCATGTATCTTTGTTATGATACAACATTACAACATTTGGGGTCTGAACCATGTGTTTCTGTCTCTTTCTGGTGTCTGACTTATGTGCAGGCTGCTGAGCAAGAGATGGGGTGCCCTTGCTACTGGAACTAGGTACTCATACCCATAATGAGGACATGGCCAGTTCATTATGGTCCTAACCTGGGGTCTTAGAAAAAGGCTTGAATGAGCCAGGCACTGTGGTACATGCCCACAATCCCAGTGACTTGAGAGACTGAGGCAGGAGGATCACAAGTTCAAGACCAGCCTCAGCAACTTAGCAAGACCCTGTCTCAAAATAAAAAATATAGAGGGCTGGGGGTGTAGAGTGAGTGCCCCTGAGCTCAATCCCCAGTACCAAAAAATATAAAAAAAAAAAGGAAGAAAAAGAAAGAGGCCTGAATGATGACTTCTAGACTGTTGTCCCTGAGAGAATGACCTCTCTCAGTGAGCAATAATTAACTTGTACCCGTGAGAAGAATCCAAACTGTGGTGGTGATGGAGGTGGGGCCTGGTCAGGACAGACCTTACTGCTGGAGAAAGGAGGAGGCCTGAAAGTCCTATAGGCATTTGTGTTGTTATCATTACCTCCTGTCCACCCTTCAGGTCATTCACCCTGACCAGGGTGACCAGGTCAAAATATTTAACAAACATTGAGAAACAGATATTGACCAATCAGGACAGCCCCAAGCTGTGCTCTGAATGAAGCGGTGCTAGAGGCCATGGCTCAGCCTCTGGAGTGGCTAGACGATGGGAATGTCCAAGGGACATTGGACAGGACAGGACAGAGGGGCAGTAGAAGGGGACTGGTGGGTGGGTCAGGGCAGTGGCTATGAACCAACTGTCATGAAAGTATTTCAAACTTTAACAAGAATGCCTGATCATACCACTGTGGCCAGCTAAACCTTGGCCTGCCCCAGCCTCCAAGCAGCTTCCAGGCCAGCCTAGGTGCCTCGTGCCCTTGCATTGGGAGGATAACAGACCACCCTCTTCTGCTGGCTACAGAAATGGGGGATGTGAATGATCCCAAACAACCAAACTGCAGAAATCACAGTGACCTTGTCTGTTTCAATTTGAAATAGGCTGCTTCCTTCATTACTTCGTTTCTTCTTTTTCTGACCCACCTCTCTTTCTGTCTTTGCTGCTGGGATTGAACCCAGGGCCTTCCATATGCCAAACACATGCTTTACCACTGAGCTACACCCCAGGCCACAGGGACGGCTTCACAACTGGCTGTGATCCGACTTTCCCTCGGATGAGAGGGAGCCTGGCAGGGAACAGGAGCCCCCGTGGTTTAGTGGAGGACCTGGGGATAGGAAAGAAACCCTCTCCTCCCAAAAGTAAAAGCAAGGAGGTAACAGTATTATGAACTGATACTATCTCCTGGATTCAGATCCAGATGCCAAACAAATCCCCAGAAATGGAGTTACCATCCCAATGAAAAATTAATACCCCAGCTATCTGAGGCTTGACTCCTGGGCCCCTGTGTTTCCTTCCCTTGGGGTCTCTCTGGTAGGGGAAGGAAGGGGATCCAGAGGGAGCTGGTTCCTTTCAAATGTACAAACTACAGTGTCAGGCTCCAAGGGCATCACACCTTTTATTACAAAAAACAATAACTTAATTTAGCTCTGTACAAAGTCAGGAAGAATTCTGCCCCAGTGAGCAATCTAACTTCCAAACAGTCAAACTTCCAAACCATCCCCAGAGGGGACAGCATTCTTGGCCCAGAGGCTCTGGGGACCACCGAGGGCCTACCAGATGGCTGGAGTACTGTGTCCAAACTGTGGAAGTCCAAGTTGGGGTGTGGATGAGTGAGCCTCCTAGGGGGCTGAGCGCTATCTAGCAGCTTTCCTCTCCAGGAGCGTTGACTCCCAGTTGGGGACAGCCAGGCCAAATCAGCACTGCAAGCTTCTGCAGGTCACCTTAGCAAAAGCATGTCCTCGAGGAGTCCAGTGATGTCTACATCTCCAATGATAGGGCGAAAGAAGAGGTCCCCAAGAAGGCTGCATGGAATGCTCTTAAGAGTGGAGGCCGTGAGGAGGACTCGTGCCAACCGGCCTCGGCCTGCTGGGTACCAGGGCTCCAGGACTTCACACAGGGCCCAGTGAGCCTCCTGCTGCAGGTGCCCAATGTGGGAGGAGGCATGAAGGCCTGGCACATCTGCAGGAGGACAGAGTGAGAGGATTGGTGAGCACCCCACTCCCAGCCACCAAAGGAAGACGCTGGCCCAGAATCTGAGGCCACCAGCAAACACCCTTCTGCACCTCTCTCTCCCGCTTTTCTCTCCCCAACCTCAGTACTGGGGAGTGAACCCAGGGGCACTAAACCACTGAGCCACTTCCCCAGCTCTTTCTATTTTTTTTTTTTTTTTGAGACAAGTTCTTGCTAAGTTGCCTAGGTTGGCCTCAAACTTGTGATCCTCCTGACTCAGCTTCCCAAGAAACTTGCTCAAGTAGTTTTTCTTTTCTTTGGTGGCAAGGAAGGTGCTAGGGATTGAACCCAGGGCTCTGTGCGTATCAGGCAAGAGCTCTGCCACTGAACGACCCGCCTGTCCCTCGCTTCCTTTGCTCAGTCTTCCAGGCCCCACTCTACCACCTCCATAATTTAGTTTCTCATTTTACTCACCCATCCACTTATGGAGAGGCAGTATTAAGAACTAGACTGCCTCTGGCATCACTAAATAGCTGAGTAATCTTAGTCAACTGTGTCTTAGTTTCTTTCTTTCCCATTTTTTTTTAAATACTGGGGATTGAACCCAGGCCCTCAGGCATGCTAAGCAAACACTCTAACCACTGAGCCACATCCCCAGCTATTTTTATTTTTTATTTTGAGACAGAATCTCACTAAGTTGCCCAGGCTGGCCTTGAGTTTGCAATCCTGCTGCCTCAGTCTCCCAAATAGCTGGGATTTCAGGTGTGCATTAACATGCCCAGGGGCTGGGGATGTGGCTCAAGCGGTAGCGCGCTCGCCTGGCATGCCTGCGGCCCGGGTTCGATCCTCAGCACCACATACCAACAAAGATGTTGTGTCCGCTGAGAACTAAAAAATAAATATTAAAAAAATTCTCTCTCTCTCTCTCTCCTCTCTCACTCTCTCTTAAAAAAAAAAAAAAAAAAAAAAAAAAAAAACATGCCCAGCCTGCAGTTCTTCATCTGTAAAGCGAGAATAATAGTACTTGTCTCAGCCAGAAGCAATGGTACACATCTATAATCCCAGCTCCTCTGGAGACTGAGGCAGAAAGATCCCAAGTTTGAAGCCAGCCTCAGCAACTTAGCATCTTAGCAAGGCCCTTAAGCAACTTAGCAAGACCCTATCTCAAAATAAAAAATCCAAAGGCCTTGGGGTGTATTAACCATCTCAGTGGTTAAGCATCCCTGGGCTCAATCCCCAACACTTAAAAAAATATAATTCCACTCTGCTGGGCTTTGTATGAGGTTTAAATGAGCCAGTACATGTAAACCCTGAGATGAGGACCTAACATATGGTATGTATAATATAAGGGTTCACTACTATTATTACAATAGTAATATGCATTATGGATGCCACAAAGGCCTTTGGGTGGGGAACTCCCACCCCATGCTCTGTCACTACCAAGAATACTCTCTGTTACTCTCCTGGCCTATTTTACAAAGATATCCTTTGTCCCCCGCTCCCCTTCATTCCTCTCCTCTGTGTGATCTTTCTGAACCCATAGAGGAGTTTCACTTTCAGAACTTCATCATGCAGTCTGCCCTTGAAGATATGACAGAGACACAGCTGTGCTGTGCTCCTCACCCCACATTCCCTAAGGGTCATAGCAGATTTCTCAGGAACAGTGGCAAGGGCCAGTCTCTGGAGTGTACAGACCTGAGTTCCCATCCCTGCTTGCCCCTACCTGGCTGTGGGACCTTCAGCTAGTCACTTAGCTTCTCTGTGCCTCTAATGTGAGGTGATAATTCCATGATACCAAGGACCCAATGTGATAGTGGATGTCAGGCCCTTAGAAGGTCCTTCCTTGGCTGAGCCCTGGCCCCTTCCTACCACAGTCCCCTTCCATGAGTGTCTGAGAGCTTACCTGGATTGAAGAGGATGGTTCCTTTCAGGTAGGCATACTCTTTGGGGCCCAGCTTGAGACTCCAGAAGGACTCTAGGCAGCACTGAAGCCACTGCACAGCAGCCAGCGAGGGCTGGGGCCTGTCGGGTGGCTGTCCCCAGCCAGCACTGCTACTGGGCTTCTCCAGCAGGATCTTCTTGAGTATGCTGGGCACTGGGGCTTCAGCCACCTCAAAGGTCACTGTGTCTTGGGCCAACCCAAGCAGGAAGAGAGAGCCCCAGCAGCCCTGTAGCAGCCGCCGCTGATCCTGCGGAGGGAGCTGGCAGAAGGAGGGCAGGTTCCTGAGGAAGGCCACTGTTTTGGCCAGGACATCCAAGGCCTCCCGGCAGGTGCGGTGGGGGGCACACAGGCGGACAGGCCGGTGCTGTAGGCACAGGCAGCGGCTTGGGGATGGGGGCACTGAGGGCCTGGGTCTGAGGCTGGGGCTCAGAAGTGTGTACAGAATGGTCGGGTGGCCTGCAGCGCCCTGGCACGGGCAGGCCCCTGGTTGGCTGGCGCTCATGGTTGGGGACCTGCTCCTATGTCTTCCCAGCTCTCTGGCCCTCTGTGCTGAGCTGTTGGTGTTATTTATACCGCCAAAGGGCAGGAGGGAGGATGGCCCGACAACCTTGACTCCAGAAGTCATGTTCATTGAAAAAAACAAGGCGCACACACACTGACCCTGGCTGGACTGGGGAAGTGGCGGGGGAGGGGAATCGGGAGCTCCACGTGGCATTGCTATCACTTCAGTCAATGAAAGTGGCTGGTGCAAGGCACAGGGCTGCGGCCTGCTGGCCTGGCTACCCCTTATCGGATGACTCAAGTGGATAAACAGGGTCATTAACCCAGGCTGTACCAGGGCACCAAGGCCTCAGGTGCACAATCAGCAGGTGGCTGTGACTGGTGTTTCTATTGGTGCCCACTCTTCTGTGTATACAAGACCACGGTTCTCTCTTTCTTTATGTGTATATATATTGTAGTAGGACCCAATACCTTTATTTTATTTATTTTTATGTGGCGCTGAGGATTGAACCTAGCAGCCTCAAACGTGCTAGTCAAGCATTCTACCGCTGAGCCACAAGCCCAGCCCCAGGACCAGTTCTTGCAGAGCCAGGAAGCCAGCCACAGAGCTGGACAAGCCTTGAATGCAAGGGCCACCCTGGAAGTGCCTTATCATTAGCTTGTTTGCATAACCTTGGGGGCCCTGCTCCTGTTGTGGCAAGGAACAGGTTGCAGGGAAAGCAGCCAGGACTCTGGGGGACTGGGAGGACTTTGTCCACTGTGCAGTTTAAGAGGTCCCCTTCCTCTGACTCCAGTTCTGGGCTCCTGCGGGAATGAAGTCCTTCAAAACTCTCTGTCCCAAGCCTGGATTCCTCCAACTCCTGAGAGGTTATGTCTGCTGAGAAACCCTCAGAGAATGATCATGAAATATAGTTGCCATTTACAAAGCACCTACTATGTGCCAGTCACTTTCTACAAGTATTGAGAGCTTCCTCGTGAGGCTAGATACTTACATTGTGAGACTCAAAGAGGTGAGGTGCCTTGCCTATGGTCACTCAAACACAAAGGGACAGAGCCCAGATTTGTCTGTCCCAAAGTCCTTTTTTGTTCCCCCAGATCCACTGGCCCAATTGTGCAGCCAAGGCCTGAGCTTCCCAGATCTGGTGGCTAGCTGCTCACTCCCCCCTGCCCTGCTGCGGCCTGCTCTGTAGATGCCCACCTGGGACCTGGACAGAAATGTTGCTCTGCTGCCCCATGGCTCCTCTGTCCTGGCATCTGTCTCAGACAGTAAGGTGTGGGGGAAAGGGGGACTTGGAGGTCCAGCCTGCTATATGCTGGGCAATCTGATGCCCTGGATGGAGAGAGAGGCTCTGGCATCATCAGAGCTGGCATTTGCTCTTGGCTCCATCACTTCTCAGCCAGTTGTGTAACTTTGGGCTGATCCTTGGTCATCTGTCCATCTGTCTGTCCATCTGTGATCCTAAGACCTTCCTGCAGGGCTGTGTGAGGACAGAGCAAGGTCCTGGATGTCAAAGTAGTTCTGAAATGCAGTGTGGGGATTTAGTTTCCTACTGTTCTCTAGCTAAGGGCCAAGTACCCCAAGACAGGCAGACATGCGTTTTCATTTGTGAATGATTTGTGTGTGTGTGTGTGGGGGGTACTGGGGATTGAACCCAGGGGCACTTTACCACAGAGCAAGTACCCCAAGACAGGCAGACATGCGTTTTCATTTGTGAATGATTTGTGTGTGTGTGTGGGGGGGGTACTGGGGATTGAACCCAGGGGCACTTTACCACAGAGCAACATCCCCAACTCTTTTTATGCTTTTGAGACAGGATCGTACTAAATTGCTGAGGTTGGCCTTAAACTTGTGATCCTCCTGTCTCCACAGTAGCTGGGATTATAGATATGCTCCACCATGCCCAGCTTGATCCTTATATTTTTAAAGTTGCTGTCATGTCCCCTTTATTTCACTGAAGCTTCACAGCTTCCCCTCAAAGAAGACTCTGGAGTCAGATTGCCTGGGTCCAAATACTGCTTCTTCACTTAGCTGGGTGTCCTTGAATAAGCCTCTTTTCTTTCTGTGGCGTGGTTTCCTGAGGCTGCCAAGTTGCTATCATTATTAACGTGTGCCACCATGCCCAGCTGGTTTCCTCATATTTAAAAGGGTGACAAGAAGCCAGGCATAGTGGCACACACCTGTAATCCAAGCAACTCAGGAGGCTGAGGCAGGAGTATTGCAAATTCAAAGCCAGCCTCAGCAATTTATTGAGGCCCTAAGCAATTTAGAGAGAGACCCTGTCTCAAAATTAAAAATAAAAAAGGCTGGGGATTTGGCTCAGTGGTAAAGTACTCCTGGGTTCAATTTCCAGTACAAGAAAACACACACACACACACAACACACACACACACATACACACAACACACACACACATACACACATGCACACGCGTGTGCACATTCACACACACACACACACACAAAAAAACCCACAACAACATAAAAACCCCATAAGCATCACAAATCCAAAATAACAAAATACTTTTACTATATTTACAATAGTGGTCTTAACAACTGACTGACAAAATGTGCCTACATGGTTTAACTGCATATTCTTTGCTCCTCTCATTCTATTTCAGGTAGTGATCTGTTTATTTTTATTTTGAAGCAATTGAAAACAGGAAAGTTGCAAGGAGAGTACAGGGCTTTGTTGTTTTGTTTTGTTTTGTTTTTCTCTCCATTGGGTATTGAACCCAGGGGTTCTCTACCACTATGTTACATCCCCCACCCCCCGCCCATTTTTGTTTTGACATGATCTGGCTAAATTGCTGAGGCTGACCTCCAATTTGTGATCCTCTTGCCTCATCCTCCCCAGTCTATGGGATTACAAATGTGCACCACTGCCTGGATATTTGGTATAATTCCTATCAAAAAAGAAAACTGGGGCTGGGATGGTGGCTCAGTGGTAGAGCACTTGCCTAGCATATGTGAGGCACTGGGTTGATTCTCAGCACCACATATAAATAAATGAATGAGATAAAGGTCCATCAACAGCTAAAAAATATTTTAAAAAAATTAAATTGTGCAAGGAATATCTATGATTACATACGCCATATACTTTTTAGTTTTGTCTTTGTTTTTGTGGTGCTAGGGGAATCAAACCCAGGATCTCATGCATGCTAGGCAAACACTCTATCATTCTATCACAACCCCAGCCCTACATATTCTTTATAAGAAAGAAGTTTCTATTTGAGTTGGGTGTCAATATGAAAGGGCAATTTACACATGTGATGCTTGAAAGAATTTTGCACAGATTTGCCTCTTGCTTCATACACATAATTTTTCTCTTTCACCACCCACATACTTTCAGATGACTTGGGAATCATTTGTATCAGGATAACACCCTGCACAGTGAGGGTCACAACATACAGTGACTGGTAGGAAATGTTCCTGAAAGCCCTCTGACAGTAGAACAGACAGGAACAAAAGTGACTGCCAGCCACCTAACTAAATCCAAACTAAATGCATCTCTGATTTCCCCTTCACTGAATCTCCAAATCCTTATAGCTTCTCTGATTCAAGGGACAGTGGCATAGAGGTGGGAGCAGTAGTGGTCTTTTTTTTTTTTTTAATTTATTTTTTAGTTCTCGGCGGACACAACATCTTTGTTGGTATGTGGTGCTGAGGATCGAACCCGGGCCGCAGGCATGCCAGGCGAGCGCACTACCGCTTGAGCCACATCCCCAGCCCAAGTAGTGGTCTTAACTAACTTGTAGTTTACAGAATTTATTTTTGCAAGTTAAAAAGTATTTGACCTGATGAAGATATTGCTGGGGTCTCTCTCAGTGCCTAGAATGAGCCAATGCAAGTATGGTTCCCTAAAATTGAAGCTTTGTGTGTTGTGTGTGTGTGTGTGTGTGTGTGTGTGTGTGTATGGGGGGGGTGCTGGGGATTGAACCCAGGGCCTTGCACAGGCTCAGCAAGAGCTCTATCACTGTGCTACAGCCCCCGTCCCAGCTTTGGCTTCACAGCAGTTTGACCCCCACAGTACCTTTCCTTGGTGCCATGAGGCTCACATGGGCGTCTGATGAACAAAGCACCTGGCATTTAGCAAGTGCTCCATGAGGGATGGCACTTGTCATCATCATTGCTATTGCTCTCATTTTCTGGAAGAGGAAGTTGAGGAGGAAGACTCTCTCTACTGGACTGGGGGTTTCATGTCTGGGACTTTTTTTTTTCCAGCCCTGCTGGGGCTGCCTTTCCCTGACCCTGTGTGCTTGACAAACTCCCGGCAGCTGTGGTCTAGCTCAAATGTTACTTCTGCAGCACGGGGTTCATATCTGTCCTTTTTAACCTCCTGAGAAGAAGAAAGTTTTCTTTTCCTGGGTTCCCAGGTCACCTTGTCCACACCCAATAGTGTACCCAGCACATAGTGTCACGATCACCCACTTGTTTGCTGTGGGTAGTGTTCAAATGCAGATGCAATCAAAGGTCACCAGACTTTCCACCGAGAGGACTTCTTGGGCAACATCTAATATCTTGGTGAATTCAAGGCTCAAGATGAGGCTTTAGTCTCTTAGCGAGGAGTCACATTATAGAAATGCCTGGGACTGCTTTCTAAAATCAGAATGTCAGTTCAGGGAGGAAGAACCCTAAAGAGAAGTGGGCAAGGAGTGGATTCTGGAGTCAGGCTGACTGGGTTAAATCCTGTCTCTTCCCTTTCAGCTGAGTGACCTTGGGTATGTAACTTCATTTTTCTTCCTTTCATTCTCAAATGAGATTCAAAACAGCATTCATATCATAGGAACATAGGAAGGGTGTTTTCAGCCAAATAAGTACTTAGTGCAGTACTGAATACTTAAGAACAAGTCAGTAAACTTTACTGACATTGTATACAATTGGTTAATGACATCAGGCAAAGACCATTTATTCATTCCCCAATTTTTTTTTTGGGGGGGGAGTGTACCAGGGATTGAACACAGGGGTGCTTAACCACTGAGCCACATCCTCAGCCCTATGTTTTTTTTTTTAGACAGGGTCTTATTAAAAGTGCTTAGGGACTCACTAAATTGCTAAGGCTGTCTTTGAACTTGCTATTTTTCTGCCTCAGCCTCCTGAGCCATTGGGATGACAGGCATGTGCCATTGACCTGGCCCACCAAATATATTTGGAGGTTCTACAATATTGGGGGCTCTGATTTAAATGCTCAAATGAATCACATAGTTGCTAGTTTCTATGAAATTTGTATTCCAGTGAAGGGAAATGAATGTGGAACCAAAATTTCTTAATTGTATATTTCAATTGTAGTAAGTAATAAAAAAGGATGAGCAGAGGGCACTTTGAAGTTGTTTTTTATTGGGGGGGGATACTAGGGATTGAACCAGTGGTTAATCAGTGCTTACCCACTGAGTCCCATACTCAGTCTTTTCTTCTTTTTTTTTTTGGGGGGGG